AAGAAGTTGCAATCTGGAACTTTGACATACGTTTTGAACTTTACTAAATCTCCATTTGCACTATTTGCACTACTCTGCCTGGTTTACACCCAATGTCATTTACCCATTATATTGTATATTGTATAGCTTTCTTGTTATATGTAAAATTGTATTGTATTTATTTAAATTTTTACTTTTTAATTATTTTACCTGCATTTTTTAATCACTCTTATATTTAAATGTTCATTTGCTATTTTATCTAGGGATTGAGAGTAACGTAGTTTCTATTCTCTGTATGTCCTGTACATGTGGCAGAATTGACAATAAAGGTGACTTTGACTTTGAACTGCGGGCGCGTCAACATTATTCCCCTATTCAGCTGCTCGGCAACTCAAAGGCTTGACAGGCGCCAATAGGTGAGTTATAATGCATCTCCACTAGAAGATGGTCCCCTGTTATCTACTTTTTCACAGGCAAGCGTGGGCGAGAGTCTACAGCATTCTACCCCCCAAGGACACGTAGTCTAATGCCTTTATTTTTCATGGCCATGTCCACTTAATACTGCACTATATGGTTATATGGCATTTTAGTACAGCATAGAATTGAGGCACTTCAAATATTTTCATCTCAACACCTCCTCCCTGGAGACAAGGAGTCTCACTATCTGCCTCATGTCTCATGGTGCCTGGGAGTGTCAGTCCAACTCACTCACAATACCCATCTGTGTGTGGAATAACATATTTGATGTTTTCCTATATGTAGAACAAAGTCGCACAAAATGTACTATAGATATTACTAAAGTGATATTGTCAAAACATATGATCAACACATAAAATAAAGAAATCTAAATCTAAAAGAGTTAGCAGCTTACAAAAGAACAGAAAGAATATGAAAGAGAAGTGGAAAAGGAAAACAGAGGATTTTTAATGAAGTCATGATCACTCCACAGACATCACCTTCATATGAAGGGAAACAGAGAGTTTAACTCAAATGATAAAACATTAAGGTCCTGAGGCAGACAAACAGAGAGGCTAAACAGAAGGCAGAAATCAAACCAAAATGAGCTAAGAGAGAGAGACCCTGTAGAAAATGATGAAGTTAAGCAACCAGTGTAGTTATAACTGACTTACTCTGGATCTCCTCTCAGACTCAGGAGGGGGCGAGCGGGCCGGCTTTGTAGTTGGAGTCGGACCAGCAGAGACAATGGGCTCACTGACCTCCACTCCCCAAGTCAGTCACCACGAGGACAAGTTCTTTGTTTAGAGATGATTTAATCCAAGCTCACCAACAACATCACTCAGCTGTCCTCGTCAGAACTGATAAAATAAAAGCAGTTACATTTAGAAACGTCAGTTTACTAAACATAAAAATATTGCTCTATTAGCCTCGCTCACATGTTCTGTAAAGATTAAATGACTTAAATCATCACGTGGTTTACAAAAACACATTGTTAATCTCAGCAAATAAGTGCGCATCCAGAAATAACTGTTTCATCTCGTTTGACATGGAAACTTAAAATTACAAAGAGACACTGAACGCACCTTCCTACCAGCTGTAACCTAACAGGAGAACGTACGTTCGTCTTCGCAGCTGCGATACACACCTCACAAAAAGCCGTTCATCAATTAGATTTAACACGACGCTTCTCCACAATACTTTGATGCGGGTTCTTCAAAAAGTGCCCATTTTTAAAACGGCGGAAAGACACAGCAAAGAGCACAGTACGCACCCCTTCTTCTTCGTCTCCTCCCCTGCTGCTTCTTCTTCTTAAATTCTATTGGCAGTTTGCAAACAATAAAATGGTGCCTTACCGCCACCAACTGGTATGGAGTGTCGACCCTCAAACCCTCCCCAAATGTTTACTCTCTTTTAAAAACTGGAATAAAGCCTGATAATTAGTGATGTGTCCTGTGTGTCGAAGCTTCGATACCTGTGTCGGGTAATCTCAAAATATCATTCCATTATTTGTTTGAAAAGGAGTAGGCAGAAGTATTTACTTATTTGTCCCTACCCCTCAAGTTCAATAAATTTATTCGAAATAAAATGGGCAGCAAAACACAGCTGATTTCCCCATCAGTGTTGTTGAACAGATTACGTACGTGTTACATAGTTACTTGAGCATTTATTGTTCGATGTTACCAGCAAGGAAGAGATTTTTTTTTATCTCATCTCTTCTAATAAAGTATGCACACAGTACTAAATATCACGAATGATTAGTACCACAATATAAATAAACAACACTACAGATCCTACAATCTGATTTCTGTCTTTTAGTTTTTTAAAAAGTGAAGCGCCACACACTAGTTTGTGTCATTATCCAGATGTACATAAGCATGATTACACAGTTACTAGGGGTGGGTTTTGATTATCGATTAAAATCGATTCTTGGATAAGGTCATATCGATTCATTAAAATCCTGAATCATTTTTTTATATAAATGTATTTTGCCCGAAATGCCAGAATCTCAGGTTAAACCTCACAAAATTTCAACAACCACCAAACAGCTAAAACAGTAAATGAGAGCAGGAACACGGATTCTGCACAAAGACGTAAACACAAAGCACGGAGCCTCCGACGGATCAGAAGCAGTGAGATGTCGCCTTTCTCACCCGACGGCTCGTACGGGGATGCGGTCGGGGCTGAAAGCCGACAGCTCGCTGATTCTAATGTTTCGGCGGGTCCGCGCTTTGTGTTTACGCCCTTTTCGCTCAAGTTCTGAAGCTGCAGGTTTTATCTCTCACCAAACAATATTGACCAAACCAGCAGCAAAAGAAGATCCAAACTACACTTCACATGGAAGAAATAAACATGATAATTATCTCGTTTGGCTCTCAGCGAAGGCGGTCGCACTTTTTCTCCTCTCCTCTCACTTATCTTCCCTGCAATTGACACCCCTTTCTCAACGAGAAGTCTGGGCTTGGGTGAGCCTGAGTGCTGAAGATATCTACCTATTAGGAACCATGGTAACATTGTTCTGGTTGATCGGAGCTGGCTTGGCCCTGACTTATCGAAGAATTAAGAAAGCAGAACCGGCTGTTCAAACCCCCACAAGGCTGCCCACTGGGATTGGAATGATGGGAGAGGTGTGAGTTTCTCAAATGGGCTCATTGAGTCAGCACGGAGAAGATCTGGACTTCTTTAAGTTGCTTGAAGACGTTTCACCTCTCATCCGAGAAGCTTCTTCAGTTCTAAGGTCAAATGGTGGAGAGTCCCAGATATAAACCTAGTGGGAGTACCCCCCACAGAGGGACAAAAGGACCCCCTGATGATCCTCTAATCGCCTGAGCCAAGGTGTGAAACTGGGCGTGGGTCCCAATCAGCCAGAGTTTCGGGTGAGCTCATTGTGAAACCTGGCCCCACCTTATCATGCGAATTCCTGAGGTCAGATGGCCCAGGATGTGAGTGGGCGTTAAGGCGTCTGGGAAGGGATCTCAAAACTGGATTATAGATGGCAGAGAGTTGGTGTCGTAAACCCCCGCCTCTGTTCAAAGATGGTCGCTCACAGTGGACATAGATGGCTTCTTTCACTCCTCTTTCAAACCATCTGTCCTCTCTGTCCAAAATGTGAACATTGGCATCCTCGAAAGAGTGTCCTTTATCCTTAAGATGCAGATGGACTGCTGAGTCTTGTCCTGTGGAGGTGGCTCTTCTGTGTTGTGCCATGCGCTTGTGAAGTGGCTGTTTGGTCTCTCCAATGTAGAGGTCTGGGCATTCCTCGCTGCACTGTACAGCATACACCACATTGTTAAGTCTTGTGTTTTGGCGTTTTGTCTTTCGGGTGAACCAGTTTTTGTCTGAGCGTGTTGCTGGGTCTGAAATACACTGGGATGTCATGCTTGGAGAAAACTCTCCTGAGTTTTTCTGATACACTGGCTACATAGGGGATGACAATGTTGTTGCGTCTGTCCTTCTTATCCTCCCTCGCTGGTGTCTGGTCTTCTTTTCTGTGCCTCTTTGCTGACTTTAAGAACGCCCATTTAGGATAGCCGCAGTTTTGAGTGCTTCCTTTACATGTGTGTGTTCCTTCTTTTTCCTTCAGGCTTAGAGGGAACATGTTCTGCCCGGTGGTGTAGGGTCCTAATTACTCCAAGTTTGTGTTCCAGAGGGTGATGGGAGTCAAAGAGGAGGTACTGGTCCGTGTGTGTGGGCTTCCGGTAAACTTCGATGTTGAGTTTGCCGTTCTCTTCAATGTGCACGGCGCAGTCCAGGAAAGGCAAACAGTCGTCCTTTGTGTCTTCCCTGGTGAACTTGATGTTTTTATCCACAGCGTTAATGTGCGCAGTGAAGGATTCCACTTCTTGTGTCTTGATTTTGACCCAGGTGTCGTCCACATATCTGTACCAGTGGCTGGGTACTCTTCCTTTGAAAGAGCCAAGAGCCTTCCTTTCCACTTCCTCCATGTAAAGGTTGGCTACAATAGGTGACACGGGGGAGCCCATGGCACAGCCATGTTTTTGTCTGTAAAAGCCTTTCCGCCATTATGACAGGTAATGTAGGACTGAAGTGTCCTAAAAATCACACTTAAACAGTTTTTTTAAAGGTAAAGTACATTCTCACATCATACGAGTTTATTATCCAAGTCTCAGAATCCAACAAAGTTACATCCACTTTACAGACTGTTGTACTAATGCTGACTAACAGCAGCACTTAACAACAGAAACATGCAGGATATCCTCACCAGCTCACCTTGATATCTGTGTCACTGGACAGCTTTCTCCAGAGTGAATCGACGTGGACACCAGCCGCGGTAAACAGCTGACTGACAGAGGAGTCACATCATAGACTTGTTTGTCCTGCTGCAGCTGGACATGCATTCGAATTGGGAGAGTTGCAAACATAGAATTTAACTGACTGCACTATGCAATCTAACAACATCTAGTGGTGACATTTTACACACCGAACCTTGGAGAGTTTAAAAAAACAGTCTTTAGTTCATGCAAAGAAAAAAAGGTTAAAGAGTGAAAGTGAATATTCTCTGCTGGTTCAATCATTGTGAACAGAAACAAATCATGTCAAAGATTTCTGATTATAAATCTTTATTCAAACCACAAACCCTGGATTAAATCAAATACAGACTTATTCATTCAACACAAGAAAACACACTCAGCTACAGTATTTTGTCATACAGAGTAACAAACCTCAGGATATGAACACAGTAACAGCGCTCTCTGCTGTGTTGGGTGCTTTTGTTCATGTGCTACAGCAGACGTGCATGGTTCTCCATGTAGTCATGCGGGTCTCCTTCAAAGGGCAGACGTGGAGGACTGTTGCAGGCTCCCATCAAGAAGATGATGATGGTGCCAAAGATCATCACAGGAGTGATCAGGAAGAGGCAGAGACGGTCGACGGTGCGAGCGATGCCGCTCCAGTTATCTTTCTCCTGTGACGACACCAGCGAGGGCAGAGTTTTATGTTTCACCTCATTTTTTATTCAATAAAAACAATAAAGCCATAACCAAAGGAACTAATGAGCTTCTAGTCCTCTCATCAGATGTTGTTACAGTCTGGCCCCAGATCCAAGAATAATGAAGTCAACACAGCAGTGTTAAAAACTGCTGGTTTGGGGACTCCAGTGAACCACAGTGGAAGATTTGGAAGAGACGTGAATCTTCCCAGCAGTGGCCAGACTACCGAAATTACTCCAAGAGCACATCAACGACTCATCTAGGATGTCACAAAAGAACATCTAAAGAACTGCAGGCATCACTTAAGGTCAGAGTTCACGATTCAACAATAAGAAAGTGACTGGGCAAAAATGTCATCCATGGGCGAGATCCAAGACGAAAACCACTGCTGACCAACAAAACATCTGGATGATCCCCAGACTGACCAGATGTAACGGGTTTAAGTCCAGTTACATCAGGTTTAAAACGAATACAACTTTTAAATCAAACATGGAGGTAGTGTGCCCAAAAAAACAGATGAAAGTTTTGGACTGGCTTTGGAGTCCAGACTAAAGTCCAATGGAGATGCTGTTTATGCTGAAAAACCCTCCAATGTGGGGGATGTAAACAGAGCAGGAAGAATATACATGCAAGTGTTGACTATAGTGCTCTCCGGTGCAGGATCCGTCAGGACGATGCATTCTGAGTGCCACGATCGTGAACTGACAAGCCATGTGCCATCATCTCTTCTTTAATTGTAAGAAGCAACAGTAAAATCTGACGAACCAATACTCGTTCACATGGAAACCTGTCAGTTACCTCGAGATCATCTGACCGAGGTTAATTTAGATGAACCACGAAGCTACCTTGATGAGAGTACCCGCAGCTGTGTCCACCTAGGAGGATTGCAGCTCTTCTCCATAAAAGTAGAGGTGAAATCGACTTCTCGTGGATCACCTCTCCTGATCAGGCCGGGCTCCATAAGAGAGTGACAACAGGCTCTGAAGGACCAGGAGGAGCGTCTATGAAATCGACACTAAAGAACTTAAGTTATTTGTACCGCTGAACATCGCGAGTCTTGGTAGACATATGGTTGCATCAGATCAGTGAGTTAAGACATTGCAGTCCAAGATGTTGCAGGGGGAACGCTATGATTTTTCAAAAGAGAAATTTCTGTTCAAAACTTGAGACTGACATAGTCTAAAAGCATAGTCCAGACTTTTAGAACATATAATTCACTTAAAACACAGTCTGATTTTTACTTAGTCTGTTGGAAGATTGAGTTATTATCATGTTGATAACTAAGCAACCGTTTAGCACAGACAATCCCCTCTGAACTGGGTTGAGGTGAAGGTAGAGAGAAGTGAACAGTGCATTTAGTATAAAAAATGGGCTGGTACCATAGCAAGAAAGAGAAAAGCATAAAAGGTTAAAATCAGAGCACGGGAGTTGAGAACCTTATTAGTGAAATTGGATTATCACTATAGTAATAAGCATCTTCTTTGCCATTGCTTCATGTTTCGAGCTCTTGACCTAAGGGTGTTGACAATGTTCAATCTTGTGGTGTCATACGGATGGGCCACGTTCTTAGGCGTCAGAGGCATAGGTATTCTGGCCACGACATAACAGAGAGCTAGTATGTACGCGAAAATTCATAAACCAGTTTCTCTAAACTGAGGTCTAATGGTTAACTTAGTTACTGTGAGCCTGATATAGTTGTATTCTTAGGCACTCCACTCATTTAACGCATTCTTACAAATCCCTTCTTCTCGAAGAGTGAAGCTCTCAAATAATGAAGGCCGGGGGCCTGCACCTCCATTGTGCTTAGAGTCATATTACCATTCTTTCAGAGATTCACAGACTAATCTTAACTGAAATGCGTTATTCCAGGTAAGACGCGTTCAGGCTTGAAGCTGAGCTGAAGGTAACATGTTGTATCCAAAACTTTAAAGAAAGGAATTCTACATTCCAATATCATTCTGTCTTCACAAATTGACTAAATGAGATAAATTAATTCAATAGGTCAGAGATAATAACAAACCTATAAATGTATAATGGGTTTCATAATCAGGCCCCATGTAAACATTATATAACCTCAAGAAATTATAACAATGCAATGAGTTACTACTAGCAGTAAAGAGCTAGGGTCTGGAGACCCTACATCACATAGTCTCACACGGAGCGTTAGACATCAATTAGTCATATTGGTAATGAGAGTATTATCAATGACAAAGGTGCTTGCACAATAAATCTATGATGTTCTCAGGTGCTATTTTATATAGTTTATATCAGCACCAACTTAGTAGCATTCTTGTGCTATATATTTTATGACGATGGTGTCATCTTTTTTGAAAACTTAATCAAACTAACAAACTCCCATAAACACAATAGCAACGAGAGACTTAAGAGTATTTCAACAAAGACACTTTTCCCTGGTTTAATATCTATTTAAACTTTGTTTTTCCTGTTTTTTCTCACATTTTGTGCTAGAAGATTAATAGTGAATAAATACGTGTAATTACGATGTTTAATTCAGTCCCAGGTTGTAGTTTGCAGATGCACTGCGTCACGCTGTCTGTGCCAAATGCTTTTCTGATGTTAAATGTGAAGCAGTGTCAGTGTGAGCACCTCCTAAAATCATTAAATTAAATCAAGCCATGGGAAAGTTCATCTTTGCTTAGAAGTTCAATCACTGATCCTCGCTGTTTTTAGTAAAATCCACTTTTCCTGTATGTTAATTTTGCCCCGTGTTCTGCCCGCAGGCTCGTAAGCTGGGCGGTCTGCTGAAGGACAGGTAAATATTCCATCACACATGGTTATCCCCTAGGTTGAAATGTCGATGTAAATGAAGTAGGCAGGCGCAGAAAGAAGACGGTCGATTCCGTGTTCTGCACACCCGCAGGCGTCACCGATAAGCTGGGCGGTCTGCTGAAGGGAACGCCGCCGAGCGGCGCGGCTGCGACGAGGGATGGAGCGCTGAGAAGGTGGAGCCGTGTTCTGCCCGCAGGCTCGTAAGCTGGGCGGTCTGCTGAAGGACGCCGAGCGGCGGCGCGAGGAGCTGAAGGTGGAGCTGAGCGGCCAGGTGCTGGAGGTGGAGCGCTCCAGAGCTGACATGGAGGAGCTGCTGCAGCACAACTCCAGGCTACAGCGGGACTCTGAGGAGCACCAGGCCCTGAAAGGAGCCTACAACGCCCTGCTCAACAGGTCAGAGGCACTTTGGTGAAACCATGGTGGGATTGATTTATTTGTTTGTTTATTTTGGCTCTATTTTTAATAACAGCTGTAGTTAAACAGTGAAGGTTTTCCTCACACTTCGCTCTCTGAGCCAACTCAATCTGCACTATTTCCTTTTAACGCCAGTAAGAAGAGGAAAAACACTTTTTTGTGTTTACAAGGTCTGGGCCCTCACGAACTGCCCAATGAACTCATTGGATAGGTAGCAAACACCACACAAAACCAGTTTCATCTGGCAACTAGTAGCAGTTCTCTTTGTTTTAAAACTGCCGCTAGGGTTATAGAAGGAGGGGAGGGACAATACACTTTTTTGTCGCTACATGTTTTGAAATGACCGACATGTGGGAGACAGGTGTATGGAAAAAGGAGACCCGGCTTGAATCCTTCCTAAAGCAGTGGCAGACCTAGCTGGGGTCAAACGTGTTTTGACTTCTTAACGCCAACTACTATTCACCGAAATTACTCCCAAGAGGCACATCAAACCGACTCATCATAAGGATGTCACATCAAGTCTCTTTTTTTTTCTAGAATGTAACATCCAGAACCTGCAGGCTGCCAAATTTTAATTGTTTAAGTGTTTCTTACACTTCAATTTTAAAGTCCCAGTCCTGATCACTAGTAGGTGAAATTGTTGACTAGGCTGGGCAAAAATGTCAATCCCATGCTGCAGGAACCGGAGATCCCCAAGGAACGAAAACCCACTGATTTTAAACAACAACTGCCTGACCAACAAACCATCTGGATGCAATCTACCCAGTAACCTGACGTGTCAGCATGTAAGGTTTACACGTGTTTCAGTTTGGTTATTTCAGAGTTTACAAAAACGGGACCAAATACATGACTTATTGAAATCCCAAAACGATGAGAAAGAATGATGGTTGTGGTCTCAAACAGGATTGAAATTATTGTGGGCTTTGGGATCCAGACTAAGATCAAATGGAGATGCTGTTTATGCTGAAAAACCCTCCAATGTGGCAGAATTCTGTGAAAAAGAGTGGGGCCAAAATTCCTCCCCAGTGATGTGTAACATTTGTTTTTATTTATTATTAATGCATGAACCTTCCCCCCCAGGTTGGCACAACCAGTTCTGAGGCTTAAGGGGCGATGACTTTCACACAGGGCCAGGTCGGTTTGGGCAGCTTTTTCTCCTTATCAATGAAACCATCATTTGAAAACTGTGTTTTGTATTTTCTTGGATTAACTTTGACAAATATTAGAATTTGTTTGTTGATTTGAAACATGTGCGTGTGGGAAATGCTGAAAAAAATGCAAAATGTTGATGAAAGCGTGCTAACATTTTTTACACAATTCAAAGCATCTTGAATCAAGCGGAGCATCGTCACGTTCTGGTTGTTCGCTCTCACCTCGTTGTATTCGTTCTTGTTGCGCATGTGTTTGATGATGTAGTTCGCTCCGTCCACAGCTGGCTTCATTTCAGAGTACAGCTGATCCGTCACACCTCCATCATCCTGGGGTTTCACCACTACACACACCACACACACACACACACACACACACACACACCCAAACACACACACACACAACACACACACCACAAACACACACACACACACACACACACACACACACACACACACACACACCT